AAAAGTATTTCGGGTGGTTCGGGTATTTTGAGGATACAGCTTAACGAAGGGTCTGGAATTCAAAGAATTAAACCATCTTTAGAAAATATATGTCCCATATATTTCACTTCATTCAGCCCAAATTTACATTTATTTAAATTAAATTTAACATTCTTTTCTCTAGCTGTGTCCAGCAACTCCTTTAATCTTAAATTATGTTCTTTCTTATAGTAACTAGTAAATCATATATATATATACTCCTCCTAAATCACTAAAAATTTCAGAAAAACTTCTGGTGATGAACTCAGTCTATGTGGCAACCTTAAAGAACAATATCTACCAAACAGAGTATTAAATGTAGTCAATTCACAACTTAAATCTGCCAGTTTAATTTGCCAAAATGCTTTGTTTGCATCGAAAATACTAAACACCTGTGCATTTGTCATTTGAGATGAAATTTCTTCAAAGTTTGGTATGTGATAATGTTCTCTCAGTATATTTTGTTTAAGGTGCTGAGGATCTAAACACACTCTGCAATTATCATCCCTTTTTCTTACTACAACTAATGAATTCACAAATTCTGTTGGTTGGTTAACTTTCTTTATAATACCATCTTTTTCCATTATTTCAGATTCCTTTTTTAATAGATTTAATAAGCTAAGTGGAATTTTCCTACAGGGCTCTATTTTACCAACAGCTCCTGGTTTTAATTTAATATGATATGTGCATATCCAGTTAAATTCCCAGTTTCCTTTAAATAAATCTTGATATCCTTTTTAAAGATTCTGGTAACTTTTCATTAGGGAATCAGGATTTACTGTGTACAAATCCTTTGTACTAGGTTTAATTTTTGCAATTTAGGTTATAAATAGCTGAAACATAGGTTATAAATGTTCCCGCTATTTAAACCTAAATTGCAAAAATAAAATAAAATTCCAACAATGTTCCAGCTAAAATAGCTGGAACAGTTTTATCACATGCCTACATTTTGAAATTCTACTTCATCCTTGTCCCCTTTCGATGTTTCACATAATAATTTGCATTTTCCAACTGCATCAGTTGTAGTACCATTGTAGTATTTATTTTGACTTTGACTTTTAAAATTTAGTCAAACATTTATCTCTTAAATTTAATTGTTTAAATTTAGGCAATGACAGCACATTACACTGAGCACCAGTATCCAACTTAACAAATAAATATTTAGATATGTTTACTTTTAGTCTTTCAAACCATTCTGTTTGTTCTATTTTTAGAAAACAGATTTGTATCTTCTACTGACCCTAAAATACTATATTCATTACCATTATTATGCAACTCATGCTCTAAATTATTCTGTACAACATTGACATTTTTATTAGTGCACATTTTAGAAAAGTGATTTTTCTTTTTACAGTACAAGCAAATCTTATTATAAGCAGGACAATTGTATAACTTAAGAAAAGTTCCACATTTTCTACGTGGTTTTAGATTATTCCTTGATAGTTTGAAAATGATTTAGTACTATGTTGCTTTTGTTTAACATGATATTTTTTCTTGCATGGCTGACTTTTTTCCTTTGAAGCTGGAAATTTATTCCATTTGATCACTTCTATTTTATTTTCTTCAGTTAAAATTTTCAGCTGAAGTTCTGCTGATTCAGAAGCTTTACACATTTTAATACATTTCTCCAATTTTAACTGATCTTTCCTTAATAATCTATCTTTGAGATTTTTATTTAGAATTCCACTTAATTATTCTTTCTCTTATTAAACTATCTTTTAATTCTGCAAATCCACAGTTGCTACTTAATTTCTTTAAATCTGTTAAAAAATCATCAAACGGTTCACTTACATGTTGTGTTCGACAGAAAAATATATGTCTATCAGCACTTTCGTTTGCTTTCGAAATGCAAAAGTTTTCGAACACTTCAATTACTTTGTCGACATCCTTCTTATCTTCTTCACTTAAATTAAATGTATTAAACTTTTCAAGTGCTTCTTCACTGGCTAAAATTCCATAAGTGGAGTAGGTTGGTGCCAAACTATTTTGGCCTTCAAAATTTTTCTCCCCCCTTTTTTTGTGTGCGTGTGGGGGGGGGGCAATGACAGCACTAGAATGTTATTTTTTAAACGTAAACAGAATAGCAACTTTTAAGTTTTGCAGTAGTGAAACACTGTTATTTGATGTAAACAGAATATTAAAATGAGATGATAAAATACTAGATGAGTAAAACAAAGTCCGACAGATTTGCGAGTAAAAACATAGTACTATATATGTCCTATATCCATCATAAAATAGTAGAGTGAATAATTCTTATAAATAATTATTGAGTAAATAAATATATGCACTTATTAGATCAGAGCACTATGAAGTGAGTTTTAACATACACAGAATAGCAAATGTTTGTTTACAGTGGTGAACAGTAATTTTTATGTGCAAACAGAATAGTAAATGCAATTGATTAAATGATAAAACAGTGTGCATCAGCTTTCTAAGTAAAAACAAAGTTCTGTCTTTACTACTAAATCTGAATAAGTGACATCTATAAATGGGTGGGACTAAGCTTGTGACATCACAATGTATTCTCTACCAGATATAGAAATAAGTACAATAAATTGTTTATATTTAAAATTACCATGATACAGTAACTGAATTCTACCAGTTATTATAACGGTAAACACGGTAGCTACATAATTAAAAATAAAAAGAAACTCACCATACTTTAAAAAAACTCTTGAAACTTATTAATACATTCACAAAAATCTTTATTTCCAAATTAACACAAAAATATCGCAATCATCCAAAACAACTTCTTTCGGCATAAGATGTTCTATTCCTTCAGATTCCACAGTTGGAGAGCTAATAATTTTCAATTTCGGTGGTACTTTTCCATATCCTGGATAAACTAATTTAACATCCTCCAAAAATTTAAATATTTTTTCTCCTTCCGAATTTAAATTACTCATCCGAACCCGCCAATAAAAGAATACCGCCATGAAACAATGTAAGGAATCACGATGAATTCTATTTTTAAACATTTTTTTCAGTAATCTATTTTCATTCTCTAAATCATTAACAGTATTCAATTTATCATCAGCAGAAATGAATTCACCTTTTTTTATGATTTGTAGTTTTATGAATAGCATTACAAAAAAGATTCTCCACTCCAGCATACTGCTTTACCGAATTTTTACACACGACATTTGTTGCCTCAGAGAAATAATGTTTCACATACAGCCACAGATTCCTTTCACTCTTACCTTCTACTTCGAAAAACAAGCCTTCCTTATCTTTCTTACAATAGATACCAAACACAATAATTTTCATTCCTCCTCTAACTTGGCAGCACTCATACTTCCTACGGCTAAGAAAAGTTTCATCCAAAAAAATTGCTTTTCCTTTACCTCCCATTTTGTGGCTATCATGAGACGCAATAACTTTGCAAATTTCTCTGCAAAAGTTGAAGTAGTCGGTAACAGTTTCTGATGATATACTACTTTCACTCCTCTGTTTTCTCCATGCATTAATATTATTCAAAAGGAAAAGTACAGGCAATTTCATAACAAAACCAAAAATAATGGCTACGATATCCCTGAAAGGTATTCGTGTTCCATAGAAGAAGGTGTCCTTCAGTGGATTCACTGTACCACTACATTTCAAAGCGCTACTCTTATTCTTACTAATCCAACACCAGCCTAGTTTTTTTTATTTGAATCCTTATTAGCAACCATCTTCGTAGAACATTTCGGACAGTATTCATCAGTTTCAATTTACGGAATTAAACAAACTTCTGAAATAAATTTTATAACACTTTCTGCTGACTCCAAAATTGTCAACCAAGTATATATTGAAATTCACTAATAACGGATGTATCATAAACTCATTAAAATATTCAAGTTACTATCATTGTAAAATTCAACACATTAAACTTTAAATATTGCACATCTTTTGATTGCCACATGCAAGAAACAAAACTAAAAAAAATAATTACCTAAATAAAATTAAATGAAAACATTCATAAATTATAAACTTCATGTCATCTGAAATTCAACATTCTCCCACCAACAACTGCTTAACCATTTACAAATATTTATACAAATATAATATTAAATATATATGTAATGATAATATTAAACAGTAAAACTTTTAAAAACAAACACAGTATTTCAAAATTAAATTTAAAAAAAAAAAAAAAAATCTTCTGGCTACACCAAATTCGCTTTCTTACAGTTACCAAAATAAAGCTCTAGGTTTGCCACAAGAAAACATACAGCCGGAAACCACAACCAAATCAAAATTGTGCCAAATAAAAAACTCTCGCCAAGCTTGGCGTTCACCCCGATTTTGTAATTTTAACCTCTTCACCAATAATATGCAATAAAATAGTTACTTTATTTTCAGGTGATATAGTAATACTACCAGACGCTAACATATAAATTTAGAATTTTTGTTTTTTCCACTTCTTCCAATTTTTGCTTAAATTACCTTCGAAATTTAGATTACTCGGTGGCTTTAATCCATTTATATTTAGTTTAGAACTTTAAATAGTTTATATATACATATTTTTAGCCACTTCAAATAAAAATAAACAATGCACTTACCAGTGATGGAAGTTTCGATTTCAAAGTAAACAACTTCCCATCGTTATTCACAAGTGACACTGTGTGTTAAATTAGAAGTCAAACAACAAAAATCAGCGTTATATTTTCAAATTTTCACAGGACTAGTTTCGATGGTTTTACCGAACTATCATCCTCAGCTGCAAAAGTGCAAATGAATAAAATAAGATATAATGATTAGATAAGTGACTGCCTTATCTAATCCTTATACCTTATATCATTGGTGTCTTGAACCCTTGATTGATGTTGATTAAAAAATAGAAAAGATATCATTAAAATTTCTTATTGATTTAATGTTAATCTTTTTCGTTATTTTGGTGAAGTTCATTTAAGTATCATTTGTCTGTTTATGTAAAGCCATGTCACATTTTTAAAGACTATTGTTGTATTATGAATACATAATGTTATAAAATTATTTTTCAGGTATTCCTAGGGTAAAATTGAGTTGCTCAATAACTAAAATTGATGTTCAACCCCAAAAATTTTTCCTGGAAATAAATCTCAAAGGTTTTGGAAAACTTAACCTTGATTCTGATTTGTGGTTCGTGACGATATCATTATGTAGCTATTTTCAGGATAATCACACTGTTATTTCTAAAACTGCTCAATTGATTCCAGGTATTTATGAACAAATCTATTAACATTTAATGTAATATTTATTAAGATGATGAGAAGATGACTTTTGACTAATCATTGCACTGCCATCATGCTAGATTTGAAATGTTAAAAAGGCAGATTCCTAGAGTTGGTTTAACATTATCGCAGTCATATTGGATCCCAATGATTGCAGTTATACAAAATTACTATGTTTGCTATAGTTTTAGAAGTCATGCACATGAGACCGTAGCCTATGAAAGCCTTTTGGAATAATTTCTAGTTGTCTTTGCAAATCAATAACAGAGTTTCATATTTTAATCTTTAAATTCTGATTGTGTAATTTTTCACTACAGCCAAATGAGAATTTTCTGTTCACATTAAAATTATTACTGAAGTACTGGAACTTTTATGCAGTTAAAATAGTTAGAATATCAAAAATCAGTGACATCAAAAATTTAAATTTGCATAGAAAATTAAAACTGGCACAGGAAAGGTAATATTTGGAATTTATGTCACCTTTTGCATCTTTATAAAATTTGAATGGCTAGAAAGTGTAATGAATGTTTTCAAAAATTTACTTCTTAATATTATCATGATGAATTCAAAATATTAGTTATTTTTCCATTTTTGCATTTATATGTATTTGTTTATATTGTGAGATAAATTATTTTTTGTAAGTGAGAAAAATTACTTTTTATACACATTGACTCACACTAGTATTTGACCATTTTAGAATTGATAATAAAAAATGCTATGTCAAACTGTTTGTCTTGTGGAATGGTGCTCAAAAGTTAGCAAACATGATTTTTTATATTAAATTATAAATTAAGGTTACCATTCTATGAATGTTGTATGTTAATTAAAATTAAATACACCTTAAAATACTTTATACATTGCATATTTATTTTGTCAATAACAAGTGTCTTTTCTAACAAAGGAAATATAAATTTTCTGTTCCTTAGTCCTTTGGTGTACCTTTCCCTTTGGCATTCACTGCTTCATCTTTATTTTGGTAATCATGAGTAAAGTGCTATTAAGAATATAAAACATGCTGATAATTTGAGGTTTTAGAATCCTGGTGGCTAGATTCTGCAATCTTTATTTCAATTAATGAAGCAAAATACTTATTTGCGTACAATGGAAGTATGATTGAAAACTGTGTGAGATCTAACTGGAACAACAAGAACAGCTGAGGATTATTCATTGTTATCAACCTAGAATGATTAATTTCTATGAAATGTGGAGAATGGTTAGGGGAAATGAGAGAAAGAAGAAAACAAAACACAGCTACCCATGCTGTTCAGTTTGAAGAAATTTATTGTTGTGATAATTGGGACAGTATTTTTGTTGCTAGAAAAATTAAATTTATAAAATAATTAGGGTAAATCGTGAAACTTTTAAATTTTCATATCTGATAGTTTTAAAGATGAAAAATCTGCCAGAAATGAAACAAGAACAGAAATAAATAGTATGTAACTGAATAAGCATTATATTTTATTTTCAAAAAATCGAAATTTGCATTTCATCTGTATTATGTCAATGTTGTGAATCAGTCAAATCATAGTTTGGGAAGAAGGTGCATTTAATGATTTGGCCTGCATGCGTTCTGTCATCTTATAATTTTTAATATGAAGTATGTTAACAAGGCATATATTTATTATTAATATATAATGTTCTTTTAAAAAAATGTAACCATATTTTTCAAGATCTAATCTGTAGTACAGAAGTTTCCTATTGATTCACTGCATTCTTTTTTATTTTTAAGTAATATTATACAAGGTGACAAAGAAGCACCAGAAATAGCCAATGTTGATTGTAGTTTCTAGTATTATTATTGTAATATTTTTAACTAGTATCCTTATGTAGTACTCCAATGAAAGTTGTGAAGTTCTAGCAATAAACACCAGAGTTATTGGAGGTAATTTGTGCAAATCTTATATTTTGAATACTTTCTGTTGGCCATTAAAAGTCTGTTGTTAGGGAAAATTTTCTTTAAAAATTTTGAAAATTTTTTTGAAAATATTATTTGAAATAAATTTCCAATTTATTTCAAATATTTGGATACCTTGTTTTCAATTGGAATTGAATTTATCTGCATGCTAGCAAATGACGTTTGCTGTTTAAAAGAAATATGCAATATTATGAAAAATTATTTAATTAGATGCTTATATATTGTCCCTAAAAAGTAAAATGGCCTGCAAACTTGTTTATCATGTCTGAAAAAAAAAGAAATGTTTATTTAAATATGTATGTTTCGAGAAGGTTAATGAAGCATGGAAATTATATTTTTATTCAATATGAGACATATAGATATTATAATAACACAAATTTTAGTTTTTCTCAGTTGCTATCTTATGTGTCAAGTTAGGTATAAATGTAAACACGATAAAAAATTTTCATGTTTAAAAGGTAGACAGACATTTTTCAATTGGCCACTTTAGGGTTTGTGAGCATGTTAATCAGTGTAAAAATGTCTTGAGAGCACAGCATTCATTAAGCTTTTTACAGGTACCGCATATTTCCATGTATAAGCTGAGAATGTTTGCAACTTTGTCTTTTTTTTTTATTTCTTAAGTTTATGAAAAAAAATTAAATGAAATAAGTTATTCATTTTATGAAAATTAAGTTTTTTTTTTTTTTTCCCGAAATTGTTTGTATTGCTGGTTTGTTGGGTTGTCATCAAAACAAAAGATCAGATGTTTGTAAAATTTGTGCTCAACTTTCTATACTCTTGAACTTGTTTTTCATTTATGGAGTAATGCTGAACAGCCATACTGTTGTTAAAATTTTCAGCAAATATGATCACGTGTAGTTTGAAATTTGCTGTATAAGAATTTCGCTTCCTGCTCATTTTTCAGGGGGGGGGAAGAAAGTTAAATGGCTCAGAAACTAAGTCTAGTATTGATACCACAGATTGTATACTATAAGACAGCAGATGAATGGCAGATGAAGTTCTTGGGTTTGTTAAGTATATGAGGCAGTGTTTTCTAGCCAACTTGCTTTATCTTCTTGTCTTTAAAGCTGTATGAAGTCATGTATTTTCTTGGATCACAAGTGATCACTTGAATTGTTGAAGTAATTTAAAGTCAGTCATTTGTAGCAAACTACAGTATATATATAAATAATGATGGTTTGTCTAATTTAAAAACTCATATTGCACTATTCAGTTTGTTTTCCAAAAGACGTGAGATCAAAATTTGAGATTACTCAGCAGGCTGACATGGTGATAACAATTAACCACACAGACAACTGCTACACAGTAAATTTTTATTATGGGTGAGAATACATGATCAAATAATGGTTTCTGCTCATATCAGTAGAGCAGTAAATAACAAATCACTAAATGCTGCAGTATGTTGATCATCAATAAAGGAAGCCAATTTTTTTAGCCTTTACATAAAGTTTTCTGTGATAATAAAAAAATAACTATTTCTTTATATGTTAGATGAAAGTTAGTTTCAATGTGCCATTTTAAAATGCCATCAATTGATTATCCAGATCTTTGTTATTTAGTGTTTCAACTCCTTTTGCAAATCAGGATTCTACTTTCCAAGCTGAAAATGCGTCTTGAACCCCATATTACTTGATGCACATTTTAATTGTAGTCATCCAGCCAGATGCAAAAAAGCAAAATTGCTTAGATTTTTTCCTTTGACATTAATAATTTTTAAAGACATACAGAGAGTATTTACACATTTTCAAAATTTTTCAATAAAGAATTTAAAAGAAGAAGAAGGAAAAAAAAAAAAGAGTAAATGTTTTGGATCTGGCATTTTTCCTTATTTGAAACGAAAAATATCATCTGCTACTTTTAAATTTATTCTTCTTTCAAAAATATTGCATATAAATAAGCTGTTGATTAAAGGGAAAAAAAATTTTTTTTCCAAAGAGAAATATTCCTATTGCATTATTTAAAAAATGTTATGAAATGCATGGTGTTAAAATTTTTAAGTGCAAAATAAACAGCATTATTAATCAGAAAGAAAAAAACTGCCCATTGTAACTTCTACATGGAAAGAGGACTCCAAGTGAATACCTGAAAAAGGTATGTACTATTTCTAATGTTTCTAAAGTTAAATCATTGATAATGAGAAAATTCCACTGATGCAGAAATCAATTGCAAAGTCATCTTTAAATACATCACTTGGAACAATAAATAAAATAATAAATCAAGATTTACAACATAAAAAACTAAAAAGCATAATGCTCACCAGCTTTTGCCCAGGCATATGGCTCAATGCAGACTAATTTATAAAACCCTAAACCCTGTATGAAAACTATTTAGCTGGAGATAAATGGAAATACATTGTTATCCTTGCTGAAGCATAGGTTTACCTAAATGACAGCAACAAAGAAAAGGTGTATTTATTATCAGTTGCATTGTGGCAGGAAAACAAAAAGGGAAAAGAGACAGTAAAATTTTGGAACATGAAATAACTGTTAATTAAAATAAATAAATAAATACCTTATAAGTTAATTCATATGTAAATAATTATGTAAGGAAAGTAGTGTGAGAAACCATTTTTAAGTGATCAAAAATAATCTTCAGTCAAGTTAATTTTATTCGATGTTTTCTAATAACATTTTATTATTTCATAACTTCTTATGAATTGTTTAATTATGCAAATTATTAATTTATAATATTTTTTTCCTAGGGAAATCAATTTTGACTGTAGAAGTGTTGAATTCACAACTTTGTTCAGCATCTGTAAATGAATTTCCTTTATTTGTTGAAGTGGGCTTGATTTTAAATTTACCTTCAGACTGGAGAACGTTAGAATGTTTCAAACTGTTCACAAAGATGTTGCCTCTCTATCTTTGCATGCAAACAGTCATAGTTCATGAGCTGTATCTATTAAAATGGATTCAAAAGCCACTTGCTACTTATTCTGATAGCCATCATTCCCACGAACTATTAAATAATGTGTTAGCAAAAATTCGAGGTCTTTTTATGAATAAACCTATTTCAAATGTATTAAAGCCAAACTGTGTGCTTACTGATATTCCTCAACAATTTACTTTCATTTTATCAGTCTCTACTATGCAGGACATAGCAAAGAATTCATTAAAAGGTATTCGAAAATTTATTTCTGTGCACTAGTTAACAATATAAATTTTCTGTCTGTATTAATTCAAAATATGTTCATCTATCATTCTATGTGTACTTGTTATTGTATAAATTAGTAGGTGCACAACTTCTATACCTTTGAAGATGAATTTAAGCCATTTTTTATCTTATGCTTAGTGAATATTTAGAAATATGTCATAAAATAATAAACATTAGTTATTTCAAAATTCTCATGGTATGAATTTCAAATAATCGTTGTATGAAAATAGTCTTAAGGTGATAAGATTTTAAAAGCATACACTTTGGAAATTTGGTCAGTAATAATGAACTTTATTAACTTAGCTGTGGGCCATAGAAAAGAAACATGGATTGCATACAGGCTAGAGGCCACCAGTTGGGCATCACTATTATAAAATAGTAGTTATTTTAAGAATGCCCTGAAATTTTGCTATTGAAGCATGCATATATGTGTTTGTGTGTGTGTGTGTATGTGTGTATAATTTCAAACTTACTGTGAAATCAAGAAATTCTATCTCTTTATGAGTATATGTGTACAATACAAAGTACATATATACACATGGAGATCCGGAATCGTCAGGACTTCGAGGCTTCCAGATATTAGATCATCAGTTTAAATCTGGCAAGAAAACATGTCAACATGGCAACACTGAGGCTTCACTTATTGCTTAGATCAGATAGAAAAATGCTAAGCCATCTCAACCACTCAAAAGCCAAAAGAATAATTGTGGCTAATATCAGTACATCATCAATCAATGTATTGTCATTGCCCACAGTGCCCTAGCTAGTAAGTATCTGACAGTGATATGCAGGAACCTTAGTTAATTAGGAGAATAAGCACATTTATGGCACATCTGCTTCTGTTTGCTGTATTCTCCATTCCTAGATTTTTTTGGAAAAAGAGGAATTTTTTCTTTTCCTGGTAGTCTGGAGGTCCAGATTTTGGACTTTTTTACTGTAGTATGTGAGTATATGCATGTTACTAGAATATATAAATACACTGTGTTTTAAAACAAATATAGGTATTACAAAGTGTTATTTTGTCCAAACTTTCAATCACTGCACCTCGGCTCAGCTATTGGCAAAATGAATACATAGTCTAGTTTATATAAATAGCTGCTAGATGTCAGTTGTCTTCTGTTTTGCGTGGTAACTGTCACATGCTTAAAGTGGCTACTCCACAGCAAAAATCATTTTGTGTTCTCGAGTTTGACACCCTGTGACTTCTTCCTGTGGGGTTTGATTAAAGACAACATTTATGTACCACCACTCCCACAGAACCTGGAAGAGGTGAAGAACTGGATCCGTTCTGTCATAACATTAGTGACGACGGACATGCTTGTCCGAATATGGGAGGAATTTTAGCATCAATGTGATATTGTTCGTGTCACTGATGGAGGACATATTGAACATCTGTAATCTGAACTTGAGAGATCTGCACATAAGTGTGCAAAGTTTCATATTTGTATGTCATACAGTTTAATATTTAAATACATTCAAAATATGTATATTCTTTTTGAAACATGCTGTATATATATATATATATATATATATATATTATAAAAAGAATTCATAAGCAAGTTCACTTTCATTGCTGATGCTCTCTTAAATAGTTTCTTTTGATGACATTAAAACTGTTCTGCAACATTGATGAATCTCCAAACTCTAACCTCTTTTCATACAATTACTGAAGACATCATCTATAAATTGTAAAATAGAAATAATCTGCCTTTTCTTGGTGTCATAAAATGTTTTGATAATAACTTTGGAATAGATAATGTGCTTACCTTTTTCTTATTGATAAAGTATATGGTCAACAAGAAACGATTATATTTTAAAGTGTCCCGAGAACAATTTTTGACTTCTAAAATTATGTAAAATTTTTATGAAACTGAGCAGTTCCTTATTATGCCAGAAAAGAAAATCATTCACTTCGCTTTGTGAAATATTTAAATACAGACATACAAAAGCATAACTTAATGTGAAAAATTTTTGTTCTAAATATAATCTGAATCTTATACTTCCAGTCAAATGTAATTTGAATCTTAAATTTCCAAAATAACTGGATGATCATAATTATTCCCACCCCTATACAGAAAGAAAATTTTCTTTCTAAAATAGATAATCTGTATCTGGATCCAGACGATCTTCATGATTATGTAGTTTTTATATGTGGAGTGTTAACAAATTAACATAAAAGGTACAACTTAATTTTCAGAGTTACTATGATATACTCTTAAATCCATAATTCCGTTATCACACTTTCTTTGTATTTTGGGGCAACACAATTATAGTCTCATGTTTATATTCTATGAATGTGTTTCAGTAGCATGTATCACCTGTGATCTTATTGCTACTTTTATTACCCTTTAAGCTTAAATAAATTTATTTAAACCAGTAACATATACATGTTATCAGCCCAGCTTAATGCAAAGTAATGATTTATGAACGTAAGTCAATCTATTATATTCTTAGTTCAAAAAATGGAAGTAAGCATGGCCGGTATAGATGTGTCATCCATAAACAAAATTATTCACAATAGAAATTTCAAATTACTTCTGCCCTCAACAAAGTTAAGTTGAAGCCAGAAAATGATGAAGCAGAAATATCTAAATGGGAAAAAAGACAACACTATTGCAATGTTTATAATATCATCTGCCATGGAATTTTCACGAGATATGCTTATAGAGAATTGTTCTTCTTCAAATGACATGCTTAAAAAGTTGGACTCTGTCTTTAAATTGACATCTGACTTTAACAAAATGTTACTGCCTGACAAATTTCATCAGTTGAAAATGGAATGCAATGAAACAATATTGCAGTATATTGCAAAAATTCAAAATCTTTCTCATCAAATCAAAGATTGCAGTGATGGAAATGCAATTACAAAAATTTTAGAATATTTACCTCTGAAGTATAGAAGTTTCATACAAGTCTGGTTTTCCATTGATGATAGTAAACAAAAGTTGTCAAATCTGACCGCAAGGCTCATAGATGAAGAAACATTTTTATCACTATTCGATAAAGGTGAGTCTGCATTTTTTTCACTTCTAATTGCAGGAAATTTAAGCAAAACAGGCAATATATGCGAGATTCAAGAATCTAGGATAGATTTTTAAAATGGTAACGAAAACTTAGTTAAAACCAAAATGCGCTCTTATATCTGTCGTAAGAAAGGACATTATGCTCAAGAGTGTCATTCCAAGCTGTGTGTAAAAGAATTGCAACAAAGTACAGTGCATTTAGCAGTGAAATGTAAAGAAAGAAGTGATGAATAGTGGATCGTGGACACTGGTGCATCTGCTCGTATGACCTACAATCTCAGCTACTTTGACAGCTTCAATGAGACAAGTGAATATGAAACTATATATCTTGGCAACAATTTAGAATTACCTATGAAAGAAAAGGCAAATATAAAAATTCTTAAGCTTATAATAAATGGCAAGAAGGAGAAGTACGTAATGTTCTCTGTGTTCAAGATTTAAAGAAATATCTTCTCTGAAAGGGTTATTACAGATAAAGGAATGAAGATATTAAAAATGCAAAATCATGCTAATATATTATAAGTGTGAATATGAATTAGTTTTCTTATTAGTACATTCCACAAGCAACTTGTATTACATGCTTTTTAAAACTATAATTTCTTCCAAAGCAAAAATTTTTCACGAGGAGAATCTATATGGTCAATATGGCATGAAAGAGCAGGTCACATAAACTTCAAAACTCTTTGCGAACTAAGTGATAAAAGACTAATTGAAAAGCTAGATGTCTCAAACAGAGATGAATTCTTTTCCAAAGATTACCAGTATGGTGAGCAACATGGATTTCCATTTAGTTCTAAAGAATATAAGCTCTACTAAACCAGCAGAATTAATATACATTGATATTTGTGGTCCTATGTCCATATAGTGGAGCAAATTATTTCATATCAATGGAAGATGATTACAATGGTTTTAGAACAATTTCTTTTCTGGAACACAGTGATGCTTTAGGATTATTCAAAACTTTTGTACAACTATGTGAAAATAAATTTGGTCATTAAGTTAAAATGCTTAAAGTTGGCAATGGAACTGGATGCGTGTAATTGCATTTCAGGAATTTTCTAAACAAATGAGGTATTCAGTTAGAAATAACAGCTCTTTACATCCACAGCAAAATGGAAGATCTAAAAGGGGCGTGTGTACAATTATGGAAAGTGCTTGATGTATTCCAAAGAATTACCTTTGTATCTGTGAGCAAATGCTGTGAATACAGCAGTCTATATTTTGAACAGAACTCCTCTAACTGAAGCTCTGGGTGGAACTTCATATATCAATTATGGACTGGAAAATTTTCTTCATTTAAAAGTTTTTGGTTCGAAAACCACTGTGCATATGCCCGATATCCTAAGAAACAAACTAACACCCAAAAACAAAAAGTCAATTTTTGTGGGATATGAAAAAGAATCTAAGAATTACCATCTTAGTGATTCAATCACTAAAACCAATCAAGAATTGTTATTCTTAAAGTTTCAAGAAATGTTATTTTTATGAGGAGAATGCTAAGACAAAAATTGCACCACCATCAATATTCTCATTTTCAATCAATGAAGATGATGTGAATGACAAGGATTCCTACAAATGAAGTAGATGATGATTTGCTTAGTATTCATCCTAGCTCAGATAGTGAAGATATCCACTATAACTTCGTCCCAGGAATACTCTAAAACTCCCTGCTCATTATGAACTGAATGTTACATATATTGTGATACCTAAGACATATGAAGAGGCATTGAACTCTCATTAAGCAGACAACTGGAAAAAAGCCATGAATAAAGAGTTAAATTATCATAATAAAAATAAAACATAGGATCTTGTACCTCCACCAGAGATAGTTCATATAGTTGGATCTAAGTGTGTGTTCAAAGTAAAATATCTTCATAACAGAAAAATTAACAGATACAAAGCAAGTTTTTGTGCTGAAAGGTTCTCTCAATTGAAAGGAGAA